CTCAGCTTGTTCAATTAAGCTTTAGCAATAAAACCTGGAAGCTGATTGGTTTCCATGCAGAAGTACACGAGATTCTGAGTGAACCAGTTTTAGTAAATAAACCCCACTAAACCAGAAAGCAAACATAATAAGATTTTTTGCAATAAGGGAACCCTGGTCATAATGATGCAACCAGAAAAGATAGCCAAAGAACCTGAACCTGGAAGAAGTTCCAGTGAAGTTGTCGGCATTGGCAAAGGAGCTCACAGACAATGCACTGCTGGGTGGTGGAGTATACGTGGGCTTTATTTATACTTTAAAGCCAAACATACTATAGACTATAAGCGGTTTTACCAGCACAAATTGCTCAGGCATGGTCCACTGTAGACACGTGTGGTTCGTTTCCTTCTGAATTGAAATCCAGATGACATTTTCGTTATTTGGAGATTCAGATGAATACAAATTTCCGAATTACAACAGTAAAGAATTTCAACAAATCTGAAATAAATTTTAACGAAACAACAAAATTCATTTGTTTCATTCAGATGTTTAAAGCATCTGAATTAAACAGATGATCCGAATTGATTCAATAATAACTGGTTGTTAAGGAGTATGTGGCCAGTCGGCCACTGCGTCCTTAACAACCACGACTCATCTGCTGTCATCGGGATTCTGAGCTGACAGCAGAATGTAAACAGGCAATGCAGGCTTTTAAAATGAAAAAAAAAAAAGAATGGCGTGGGGGGTCATACCAGACCCTTATCTGAATATGCAGCGCAGCGGGCCAGGAAAGGGGGGTGGAGAGCAAGCACCCCCCCAAACCATACTAGGCCACATATCCTCAACATGGGGGGGTGCTTTGAGGCAGGGGGGCACCCCCCCATAGAATCTTGTCCCCATGTTTATGGGGACAAGGGCTTTTTCTCCACAGCCCTGGCCCGGTGGTTATGGGGGTCTGTGCATGGAGGTTTATTAGAATATGGAAGCCCCCTTTAACAAGGAAGCCCCCAGATCTCACCTACCCCCATGTAAATGAGTATGGGGTACATAGTATGCCTACTCACTAAAACAACCTCCCATGTTGAGTGCATGTGGTCTGGTATGGTTCAGGAAGGGGGGGTGCTTGCTCGTCCCTCCTCCTTTCCAAGCTGCATGCTTGGGTAAGGGTCTGATATGAATTTTGGGGGGACACCACACCATTTTTTTGTTTAATTTTGTGTGTGTGGGGTTCCCCTCAAAATACATATCATATCCATATATTCTGAACAATTCTAATCCATTTGAATTTGAATAAACAAAACAAGACTAAATGAAAATGCAAATAAAATAAATAATTTAACAAATCAATCCGAAATGAAACTAAATTGTTCAGTCTGCACATGTCTAGTCCACTGTTGTCTATATCAATAAGCCAGTCCAGAGCAATCAAGTGCAGCAGGGAGGTTGACTATAGACAAAAAGTGGCTAAAGGACACTGGAAGAGATCAGCAACACAGAGATAAAAACATAGAAAAAAATGGAAAACAGTATTTTATGAAAAAGAATCCATGGTAAATGTTTATAATGCAAAGGGGTCAATTCAATTAAATAACGACTGAAAAAAATGCGGTAAAATAACTCATGCAGTAAATTTTTTGCAAATGAGAAATTTACTAAGAATTTGCAGTAAGTAACTCATGTAGTAAAATATCGTTATTGCGGTAATTACTGCATATTTCCCTATGGTAATTTATTGCATGGTAGCTGGTTGTTAGGGAGGCCAGCCGCGGCATCCTTAACAACAGATGACTCATCAGCTGTCAGCGGTGTCCCACTTACAGCTGAATTTAAAAACAAATGCCAGCAATTACAAATGATGAAAAAAACTGTGTGGGGCTCCCCCCCCCCATCCATACCAGGTCCTCTGAGTCTGGTATGGATTTTCAGGAAAAATCCACACCAAGATAGAGAAAAAAAAATGACGCTTAGGTCTGGTATAGATTTTGGGGGAACCCCACACCAAAATAAAAATAAAATGGTGTGCGGGGGGACCCCACGCTGTTTTTCTTTAAAATTTGGCATGGGGTTCCCCTTAATATCCATACCAGACCCCTAGGGGTTGGGGGTGGGACCCCTTCTCTGCATCTGAAAAAATACCACATGTGATCCCGCCAGCAAAACCCTGGTGATAAATATTTTTTACTTTCTGTTCTGTTTGTGAATTGGACATTACAGCTTACCGCATGGTTTTGTTGCAGTATTTACCGATACATTTTTAATTTTGCGTTAAATACCGCAGAATCTTTTTTTTTTTTGTGAATTGGACATTTTGTTACCGTATGCGATAATTTATGCAAAGGAGTCACGTGACAGTGCTATCGCATGCGGTAACCTTTAGTGAATTGACCCCACGGTGATTTAAAAGGCTGTTATACATTATTAGAAATACTTTAACAAAACAATCTCTTTATCTGTATGATATTTCAAAACTAATGTGTAAATCCCTTAATATATGCCCCCCCCCCCCCCCCCACACTGAATTTCCAAACAAACAATTTTACCACTGGGATTTGTACTGTAATTGTTACCGACATTCATTTTCTCTTTTTACAGTGCTTCGTAATAGATATATTTTTACTGACATCCTAAAAATGATGTTCAACCATAAATCTGGCATAAATCTGCAATTTTAGCTTGTAAGATTGCCTGTCTCTTGGGATGGAAGATAATTTCTTCTGGCCACAGAAGTGCGGCTATAAAACCTGCAGTGGTCTCATCTTCCCAAGAGATTGTTCGGATTCTGAAGTTTGTGCTCAGAAATATATTAGCATTCAGTACTTTATGTTACAAACCAAATCTGTATTATTGAAATAAACTGCTTATCAGTGTTTGTTTTATAATTTGTTGTCCTTGTTTTATATGTATACCCCCTGAGCATGCAGATGTAGTACTGAATTTTATGTACAGTGAATGAGGCTGAGCTAATCAAATTTAATGAAATACACCATCCATTTTGACAACGAGCATTGTTTGTTTCCGTATGTGATTTATTTTGCCGTTATGAGATTTAGTTGCTTAATATTGGGTTTAATCTATCTTGGAAAAATTGTGAATAGTAATACTTGGCCATTGCTAGGGAGAGATTTGTAAAACTTTACCAGCATTTTCAACTTAACCATTTCATTTTCATTGGATTTTATCCCTATCAGCAGAAGTCCCTACATGAAGATCAGCAGTTACAGTATTTCTTAAAGTGTTACTAAACCCATGACAGTAAAATCAGTCTGTATATGCAGTAAAATATGCTTGTTATACTCACTGTGGTACCTAAGGGGTTAATCCTCTGCATCGTGTGAAAAGGATGTTTAATTCTGACTTCGTTGATACTCCCCATCTTCCAGTGCCCTTCTCTTATCTCCTGATAAGAAGTATGGAGACAGTCTGCACATGCTCAGTTTGGTGTGTATAGCTAGAGAGGTTTTTTTTTTTTCTTGAGAAAGTGCATGTGATCAGCACAGGGCCAATCAGCACTGTCCAGATAGAGGTCAGGGGTTCTGCATCCCCCTAGAGCAGAAAGAAAACTCCTCCTCCAAGGTTTAACCAGTGCTCAGATGGACATTGATAAAAGTCACAAGACTGCTCGAACTACTGATGAGAAAAGGTATTTAGCAGTTTATATTTACTAAAGTAATTGCATTTCCATGTTGTGTGTACTGTGGGAGACAAGATATAGTGAATGCAGGGTCCGGGGTTTAGTAACACTTTAAGAGCTTTTCAGTAGATGTTTAAGGCCCCTTTCATATGGGCATTCTGTATGTCCATTTTTCATCTGTCCGTTTACAGATTAAAAATGGACACCCTAATGTAATACAACCACGCTGGACACAGCATACAAAGTATTGTTTGGTTTGTATTGGGTCCCGGCTCGTTTGGCCCTGCCTGCAGTGATCGATACTTTCGGGGTTGTGGTCATCATGGAGATGTGTTGCATATATGGTGGTCATGCCAGAAAACTGATTCATTTTTGGTCTCATGTATTTGGCCTCCTTTTCACCTTGTTCCATTTCTCCATACGCCGGGATGCTCGGTACGCTTTGCTTCATTGTCCCATATGGGCCTGTTGGTTCACCAGCAGAAGTTGGCTTCCTTTTGTTCTTGTCGGCCACTAGAACAATTTCTCAGGCATGGAAGAGCCTGTCTGTCCCTCTTCAGGGGGTGCGGGACAGTATGACCACTCTGATGTTCAATAAACAGATGTTGAGTATCTATAACGATCTATAACGATCTATAACGATTCCCAACGGAAATTTTTGAAAATATGAGAGCCTTGGTTGACATATGCTTTTCCCATGCTCCTTCCAGCTAGTTTGTGATGTTGTTCGCTTTTGGTGTTCCCGAACTCCTGCTCCTGGTCTTTTCTTCTTCCTTTTCTACTCATCTTTCCTTTCTGTTTTTGTTTGTCTTTTGTGAGGCGGTGGATAGTTGCCTTTGGTTTGAGCAACTGTCAGTGTTATATCACTGTTTTTGTAATCTATATGCTATTGATAGCCCCTGCATGGGTGCACCTTTTGCTCTGTTGGTGTTAGAGCACTGTTTTCTGTACTTTATATGTGCAATTGATAGCCCCTGCGTGGGCGTGTCTTGTTGCTCATGTCTTCTTGAAGTGTTATAAATTATTAAAACCATTGAAATACAAAAAAACGGACACCCATGTATTTCTATGGACAAGCTGATGTAAACGGATGATCATCTGTTTCATCCGTTAATGTCCGCATCCGTTAACATCTGTTTTTTTTAACGTCAGAAAACCCTATTTTTCTTCCATTAAAAAGATGGATGTAAAAGGATGTAAACTGATGAAATTGGATGTAAATAGATGTAAACTGGCAAAAAACTGACGTAAACTCATGAAAAACTGATGTGAACTGATGCAAACTGATGAAAAACTGATGTGAACTGATTAGTTTTTTCTTGGAAAAAACATGACTGAACTGATGAAAAAATGTAATGCCCATGTGAAAGTACCCTAAGGAATGGGCTTATTAACCACTTCCCGTCTGGCCCATGTTTATAAATGGCCGGAGGGGAGCGCTGCTGAAGCGGGGTGATGTTTCTAAACATCACCCGCATTTACTGCCTGTGCGCGCTCCCTGGGAGCGAGCTGCACCACGATCACCAATCACTGTACGGGACCTCTGTGTGAGGTCCTGATTCATGTGATCACTGATTGGCCATTCGGTGATCACATGAATAGTAGTAAACAAGATGTCGCTTCCTGACATCATTGCTTACTACTTGTGAAATCTGTGAATGATCACAGAGGTCACATGGTACAAGGCTATTCACATCAGCCTTGTACCATGTGACAAGCTGTGACCAATCACAGATCTCACAGTATTTCTCAATGGCTGTAGTCACTATGGTGACACTGTACTGCTAGGGTGAGAGTATGTTAAAAAAAACATAAATAAATAAAAAAATAAAATAAAAATGTAAAACAAAATTTAGAAAAATTATAATTTTTGGTTATAAACTAATTTGGGTTATTTTTTTTTTACTAAAAAGATAACGGAGTAACTTTTGGCCAAGATTTATGAAGAAAGATTATTTATTTTCAAAATTTTATAAGAAAAAACACTTTTTTTCAAAATTTTGGATTTTTCATTTATATAGCAAAAAAATGAAAATCCCAGTGGTGAATAAATAGCATCAAAATAAAGTTTTATCTGTTTAAAAAAAATGCTAAAAAAATTCATATGGATACAGTGTTGCATGACCACGCAATTGTCATTCAAAGTGTGATAGCACTGACAGCTGAAAATTGGCCTGGGCAGGAAGGGGGTGAAAGTGTCCAGACTTGAAGTGTTTAATGCTTTACTTGCCCTGAAAAATCATTGATTTCAAATCCTACTATAGACTTCTTTCCTGGGGGTTTTGTACCATTTTCATGACAACTGAGAAAATCATTTGATATCATTTGCCATGTGATCTTGGCACAGGGAGAGCTACTTGCAGCCTAAGTATGGGCTCAACTTGAAACACATTGAGAGTCTATACGCAAAGAGATCCCCATCTCAATGTGGTATTTGTACCTCTAGAGGTCCCTGCACATACAGTATCTATACCAGCCTCTCAAAGAGCTGAATGGTGGGCTGTTCTGACAGGTAAAGCTCCGACACTTCTTCATAGAACAGAAGCTTGCCTGCCCCTTCCTGTCTCCTGCACAAACCTGTTGGCTAGTAAAGCAGCATATCATAGAGATGGACAGGATATACCTGTAGCTTTGAGATGTCCAAGTGGTATTGGAGCTTACTGCTAAGTTTTGTCCCCACACTTTTCAATCAGAGGGCTGCAGGATGGTAGTCATGGGGTTGCATGTACATTGATGGGATGGTTCTGGCCAGGTTGTCTGCAAAAGTTTTTGGGTTATCCACTTATCTATCTCCATAACTGGGAAGTCAGCTTCTCTGGGACAGCAAAGTAACTAGGACATGGTCAGGTTAAAGTTGTTGTAAAGGTAGAAGTTTTTTTTGTACCATAATGCATACAGTATATGCATTAAAATAAAAAAACCTTCTGTGTTCTGCTCTCCTCCCCAGCCCCCCTAATACTTACCTGAGCTCAATCTCAATGCAGCACTGTGCAAGAGAGCAGCTGCTCTCTCTATACTCTCTCTCCTTATAGGCTCCTGCTGCTGTCAATCACAGCCAGTGAAGGAGGGCTGAGCCTTGCTCTGTGTGTCAATGTACACACAGAACGTGGCTTGGGAGCAAGCCCGCATGAGTGTCCTCTTAGCATTGCTAGGTGGGCACTCATTAGGGGGGAGGAGCCAAGAGCACTGGCGGGGAACCCAAGAAGAGGAAGATCGGGTCTGTTCTGTGCAAAACCATTGCACAGAGCAGGTAAGTATAACATGATTGTTATTTTAAAAAATAACAATTGTAGGTTAATAATCAATTTACCCCTTGTTGCCAAGCGTATGTATATATGCAGCCCTACTGGACTGGGCTTTTTCTGTGCGGCCACCTATATGTGTATGTGTCCTTGTGCTGGGAGTGCACCACACAGCACACTCCAAGCACAGAGACTGGGGTCTCACCAGGAGCCCTGAGCTCCGGATCACCTGATCGCTGTGGTAGCCTCTGATTGGCTGTCACAGTGATCAGTCTCTCTCTGAACAGAGGAGAGAGATACACTATATCTCTATCTCCTTGCACAGAGAAAAAAAAACTGTGTAAAAAAAAAGTAATAAAAAATAATAAAAAAAAATACCTTGATCAAGGTTTGATCTAGGTCAGTGCCAGGGTTAGTGTTTGGGTCAAGTAAGGGTCAAAAATCAAGGTGCGAGTGCGCAAACGTGGCCGCCGCCTAGGTCCAAGCGCCTGCTGATTAGAGCGCATTGGGTTTCTGCACATGCGCAGACCCGTGTGCCTCCGTGACTGCTGACAGCCCATAACCTGTTAAAAATTCTGTATATGGCCCTACAGTACAGACAGTGCACAGTCCACATGTGTTTTTCTATGTCACTGCAACAAGGAAAACTTTATTAACCTCCTTAGTGGTATTCCCGGGTGTAGCTCGGGGTAAAATTTCTATACCAAGAGCGGTAACCCCGAGCTACACTCGGGCTTACCATGCGGCGCTGCTCTGGGGGTCCCTGCAGCACTTACCTTGTCCTTCGTGTCCCCTGCAGCGCCCCCGGCCATCTCCTCCGGCCGATGCCGGCATCCGGCTTCTGTTTTCCGGTCCCTGTGACTTCGGGACGTACAGGCGCCAGAACCGGCGGGAAATTTGAAATTTTTTAAAAATGTCATTTTTGCTGTCATTGTTGTTTCAATGCATTTCACATACATTTTGTCCCTACTGCTTTGTCCTGTGCCCTGCCTGCATTTTGAATGTTCTTTCTGCCTGGAAACTTAGAAAAGTCCATGGCGTCCAAAAAGCGTCCCTTTACGTCAAAAGTGGTTATAGAACAGCAATAGTAAATCAGAACCACTTGCAGAATTGAGTGATAATGATTCGTGGGGAAATTCGTCATCAGACACTGAAAATGATTTTGCGACTTTGCTCAGCGATGTGCGAATTTGCCTCTGTATTTCAAATTTCAGTGTTTTTGGTTTGATTATATTATTGAATTAAATTTATTATTATTATATTATTATTTTTTATGATTATTTATTAAATTATAATTTATGATTTCGTGTTTCAAATTTTATCATATCCGGAATGTTTAATAGACTCTTGTTCGTACAGATTTCAGTGAGTTATTCCTAAAAATTACAGCCTACAATAAAAAACTACATATTTCCATGCAAAAAAATGTACCGCTTTCAGCACAAAAAATCGGAAAAAATCAGACCGCCGAGGAGGTTAAGACAAAAGACATAGAGTATACCACCAATGCAGCTGCAAACTTATAAACACTGCCATCTACTGGTTGAAGAATATATCTACTGAATATCTACTGAATACTGATGTAGTTGTCCCACAAAATGCATGAATGCTGTATTCCAACAAAATTAATGAAAATTAATATACTGTATCATTTTAAAATTTGGCTATAGATATGCTTTTAATTATTTAGAGATCTTTTTAAATTCTTAGCCAGATTCAAAGGCATTCACAACCTTAGATCTTGGCATGATGACACTATACAATAGTAAAGAGAACCTCTTGCATCTCAGTATTCCTTACCTCAAATGAATTCCCCACTCTAGTATAAGCTCATGGTTGCTTCAACAACCAGGAACATATAACAGAATGGTCTCCCAACTGTACTGATTAAAAGAATAGTTTTGATCACCCACTGACAAGCCAATGATCCTAACTATTCTTTCAAAATGTGACACTGTCTAGCCTCTCCCTCACCATCCTCTGTTGCCATCTACTGCTCTATCCGACATTCATCGTCTCCACTGGGTGCAGGCACCTCCATATGGTGTCTTGCTGTCTCCTATGTGCACTTCAATCCCTCTGCTGCTCTCCCCCCTGCCTGTGCCAATGGAGAGAGTGAGTTGTACAGGGTGCGAGGTGCCAGCATCCAGCGGGGAAGGATCAGATCCCTCAGGATGGCAATAGGGATGTGTGCCATATTTACTGAACGTACACTGGAATGTTTAGTGCTGATCACCCCTGTGTTCACTCCTAAATGAAAAGATAGTAAACATGAATAGCCATGTCTTCTACCCAGGGGTGGACTGACCATTTGGACACTGGTGTCAGTATGGGGCCCCATGAGATGCCCCTGGTACCTTTTTCATAAGCTTTTTTGAGTTTGGGCAAGGGCACAGGGACCCCATGGTCCCCTATTGGCTGGGGGCCCCATGAGTTGTCAGTCCGCCCCTGCTTCTACCCCTTCTTTAGTGTCAGTGAGTGCAGCTGCAATGGAGTAGGAGACTGAACACTGGAAAGTTCCGTGCTGATCACCCCTGTGTTAATGTACAGATAGTAAATATGAATAGCCATGTCTTTTATCTCTTCTTAAGACCCGGGTCGCACTGGGTGCGACTTGGAATGCGATTTGCATGCCAAGCGACTTGCAAATCGCATGCCAAGGTTTACCCTATTGTCCGCAATGACAGCGGTCATATCGATGCAATTCCGACTTGGTTGGAGCAGCACCGATTTCTAAAGTAGTACATGCACTACTTATGGTGTGATTTGCATAAACATCTGTGTCAGATGTTTTGCAAATCGCACCTGATATCCGCATGTCCCCCTAAATTTGAAATCGTGCAACTTCACTGTCAGTCGCACGATTTCAAAGTTGGGCTTGATGTGACCGGGTGTTAGTGTCAGTGAGTACAGCTGCAATAGAATAGGAGATTGAGTACTCCGTGTCCTTAGTCTCGGACTCCATTTCAAAAGTGAAATATGAGAGGTCTGTTCAGATCCCTGAGATTTCACTAATTATTATTATTATTATTATAATAATACAGGATTTATATAGTGCCAACAGTTTGCTCAGCACTTTACAATATAACATTCCAATAGTAAAAAAAAAAAAAACAACAAAAATAATAAAAAAAAATATAAAACATGTATAAGAGAATAATAATAATAAAAAAAAAAATCAACATTGGGGGAAGTAGCATAACTTGTACTGTATTGACTTTTTTATCCATGAACCTATTTACAATACCCTGTTGTTAATATATTCATGAAAATTAATTAAAGAACTATTGAAAAATCAATGTTCATATCTGTGTGACATGAGAACACATGCAGCATTGCACACAGCTGAAGCATATAAAAACAATGTCCATATTGGTGCACTGTAATGGCATTTATTGGTAATGGCACCCTAAAACACCTTGCTAACACACATGCACACTTTATGGTAATGCACAATTTGTGTCTTGGTGCACCAACACATTATGGGCCCATTCACACCAGCAAGTGTGCCATCTATTTGATCTACATGTCTTATG